TTTCTCTAGCTCATGTAGTCACTCTATGGTGTATGTGGTCAATAGTGGCTGCTAGCCTCTACACTATTTTATTCTCAATCAATTGTTTACATATGTCTGAAGCATGGCAATCATTATTCTGTGATACAAGTACGGATGTTCGCTTCCTTCTCCCCAACCACTCGGCATATTTATCAGCAGTCATTTCTTACTATTACAACTCATTGTGGATGATGCAACATCTCATCCCCAGGTGGAAGTGGGAGAATGCTGCAGAACTGGGCCAAGCTCACAGAAGATGTGAGCAGCTTTCTCTGACATGCAAGCTGGCTAGGAAGCCTTCCAGATTAGCAGCATGGAATGCACAGCAGCTGTTTATCAATTAGTAATGGGGTTTGTAGTCATGCACATAAATTAGAAGGGGATGGTTTAATGGCTACTATTATTACAAAGGCACTGAAGTCTGCATATGAAAGTAATTTTACTACAGTTATCCCATCTGGTAGTTACAGTATATCTCTGGCTACTCTTCTGGGTGGAAACAGTCGTGTGGAAAAATTGTTACTAGATGGAAGGTTATAATGTGAACCTAACTTTTGTTGTTATGTGCCTTCAAGTTGTTTCTGATTTATCACCAAGCTGTCAATTTATAACTTCCAAAAGATGCTACAATTAACAATTATTTTGCTAGCTCATGACTAGCAAAACAAAAGCTGTGGTTTCCATTACTGAATCAATCCACCGGATATTAAGCCCTCCATTTTTCCTGTTGCCTTCAACTCATCTTAGCATTTTCTCTTGCAGTGAATCTTGTCTTCTTGTAATATGTCTCAAATACAATAGCCTTGGTTTAGTTGTTTAGGCTATTAAGATTCTCTGCCTGGAATATTCCTGCCAACACTGGCCAAGTACAATGTTTCAGAGGCAAACGCAGATCAACAAGATTTACAATTATAGGCCTTTATAGATATTCTTATGAAATCTGAATGGATTCAGCACTCACACTTTGGGAGAAGTCTTTTCTCAGTACTGTTAACTGAGGTCTGTTTCTCAAGAAATCTTTGATGCCTTTGCACAAGCTTGTTTAAGTTCTCAAAGAGAGAAGTCTACTTTTCCCAGAATGTAGATACCCATCTCCAGTGCTGTTTGATGTTTTGGTTCTCTTTCACAATTCAAATATATATTCATTTCTAAAAACTTTATAAATAGCAACTGATCATTTAAATTCCTAATTCATGATATACCAACAATGACTGTGATATGGATAGATAAGTACTAATACTAAGCCTTCCACTATGTGTATTAAGTTCTACATATAAAAAATTCATGGGACCACCTATTTAAATATGGCTGTTTGTGTGTGGCTTGATGGAGTTCTTTCTTCTGCTGAAAAATGTGATAGATAAAGTACCATAAAGACCTGCCAGGTATCCAACCTCACTATGATATTAAACTGAATAACCTGCTCATCAGTCTGTGCTATGTAAACCCACCACTAAGATCAGCACTTCTTTTATACCAGGAAGCCTGAGAAAGACAAAAGCTGAGGTGTCGCCTTAACTGCAAAGGAGATATCTCTTTTTGCAAAAGCCTGAGAGGACAGAACCTATATGAACCGCTCAGATGAAACACAATCAACCCAATAGTGACTGTCCAGTTTAGCATGTCAACACATGACAGAAACATTATGATTTGGCCTTCTCCAAGAGTTAGTACAGATTACTGATGTGTGTTCCTTTAGACCCTACTAGGACTAAGTACAGATTTTCATAAGCAAACCAATTTTACTGCTACATCTCCATTAAATAACAAGATCTCCTTGAAGGAACATTCATGTCAACTTCATTACAACACTTTACACGACCTGGATTGTACTGGATTATTTTCTGCAGACTGCAGATACAATCTACTGTATTGTGAGATTTTTAAAATTTCCCTTGCTTTACTTGCAGCTTCAGAAGCTTTGGCTTGATCCTCTTATAGGACAGGTCAAAATGTTCTGCAGAATTTTCTAGTTTATAATCGCCAAATACCCAAACAATCTCTTTCATGCCCATTTTCTGAAATAGAGACCAGGACTATCTGCACTTGAAAAGCTATGCTCTTTGTACAGTATAAAACTTTGAAAAGCAGGATGGGAAATGCACTTTAATTATTTAGTTAAATAAAACTTCATTACAACACTTTACACGACCTGGATTGTACTGGATTATTTTCTGCAGACTGCAGATACAATCTACTGTATTGTGAGATTTTTAAAATTTCCCAGATTTTACTTGCAGCTTCAGAAGCTTTGGCTTGATCCTCTTATAGGACAGGTCAAAATGTTCTGCAAAATTTTCTAGTTTATAATAGCCAAATACCCAAACAAACAATCTCTTTCATGCCCATTTTCTGAAATAGAGACCAGGACTATCTGCACTTGAAAAGCTATGCTCTTTGTACAGTATAAAACTTTGAAAAGCAGGATGGGAAATGCACTTTAATTATTTAGTTAAATAAAGGGAATTACAACAGACACTAGGAAAACATCAAATTGCATCAACTTCAGAAAGGTATTACTACCTTCCACCTAAATGTTTCGTATTTTTCTTTATCAGATTCTGTTCACATCTTTACAAGCCTTCATTCAAGCCATCTGCAAATTGGTTCTGTTATCTAAGCAAAGGTAAACTCTGTTTCCTTTGGAATTACAATTCCTTAATCTTCAGAACAAAGCATCTTTGGTACCAACTAGAGCAGACCCAATCAGTGGGGCTTACTGGTTGTACTCGAATCAGAATTAACAATAGATTTTGCTCTTTGCTTGTGCACATGGGATTTTTGTTGTTGCACGACGTTTATCTTTATTTTCCTTAGCTAGTCTTAGGAGTTTACAATTCAGTAGGATCCCTGTATTTGTGAGATCGATACCTACAGCTTCACTTATCCACACTTGGCCACAGGCCTATATACAACATACAAGGATGTCACCTTGTGGCCTTTGTCATGTATGTTATATATAGGGTTCCCTTGTAACCACAGTCTCAGACATCTACAGTTGATCACCAATCAGTTCATTGTTACAGTCCTTTGACCAATCATCACAGTAGATTGACCTCCTAACGGATACAGGAAGCTACTGCAAATATTCAGTGATCTCTTTTAGCTGTTCAAATAAATATTACTAATCATTTAAGTCCCATTTTAACACTTCCTTACAAATAGAACTGTTATTACTTCTGCTATGACTCCTTAAAGTAAAATTAAATTGCATAATTAAGTTCATTCAAATTTGATAAGATACAATTCAATTTATATGATGCAATTAAAATTTTAGCGCACACACACATGAAAATATTTTTCCTGTGGCAGATAGACACAACACCAAGAGATTTTCCTGTGCATGGATTTGGACTTTTTCTTCTCTGAACTGCACATTTATTCAATATTACAGTTGTTTTTAAAGGCTGTTGTTATGTGCCATCAAGTCAGAACTTTCTTATAGCAACCCTAATAGGGCTTTTAAAGTAAGTGGTTTAAGGTGTGGTTTTACCAGTTACGCACACACACATCCACACACACATTCCTAAAGGATCCTAAAGGATACAGGAAGCCTACTGCAAATATTTAGTGATCTCTTTTAGCTATTCAAATAAATACTACTAATCATTTAAGTCCCATTTTAACACTTCCTTACAAATAGAACTGTTATTACTTCTGCTATGACTCCTTAAAGTAAAATTAAATTGCATAATTAAGTTCATTCAAATTTTATAAGATACAATTCAATTTATATGATACAATTAAAATTTTAGCGCACACACACATAGATTTCTTACAATCCAGTCACAAAGTTTGTGGTTTAAGGTGTGGTTTTACCAGTTACGCACACACACATCCACACACACATCCACATAGATACATATACAGTGAGTTTTCATGGTAGAGCTGCAGAACTGAGCCTGAGTCCTAGTCCATTATTATATCTACTACACCATATTGGGAACCTTTCGTCAGACTACAAAGTTTAAACTACACAGTTTAGGTTTCCCATATTGCACAGAAGATCAAAAGCTGCTGTTCATGAAGCTCAAAGCCTCTTTAAAATGACTAGAATTAGTTGTAGATTTCTTACAATCCAGTCACAAAGTTTATTCATAGTTAATTTAGTTGAGTTTTATAACTCCCATTGTTGTGGTAGTACACCAAGAAATGCTTAAAAAAATTTTGTCACGCTATGACAAAATTGTCAAAAAAACAATTCTAAACCCCCAAGGGCAGTTACTTCTATTTTAAAAACTGAATCACCAATCTGTCTTCCTCCCAGGAACTCAGCATACAATCTGAGCACAGAGATTTCCAACCATGGGTAACCCAGGTGTTCTTTGAATGCAGCTCCTGGAAACCTTGGCTAGCATAGTTAGTGGTAAAGGCTTCTGGGAGTTGCAGTCCAAGAACACTTGGGTTACCCAAAGTTGGAAACCACTGATCTAGCAGACCGTCATGGGAAGTGAACTATCTGTGCATTCTACTTATGCCTCTTACCAACCCACTCCCCACTTAGCTCACACCAACAAATGGGAGCTAGTATACTGTATGCATGAACCAATCCTCCACTTCTCATAATGGAGCAGTGATATGAAAATATGTGCATTAACTATTTGTGAGGGGGAAAACTCTGGCCCTTGGAAATATAGATGTGTCCATATGTCACATTTTCCCCATGCAGAGAACATGGCTTATGTTACAAATCTACAGTAGCAGATTGCCTATTTTATTCTGTTTCAGTAATTGTTAATGGTAACAAGGAAATGTAAGAGGGAAAAGCCGCTTGCATTTTCTTAAACTATAATTTTTAAGTAAGTTCTAAAAGCAAGAAATGACTGGAAATGTTTAGCACCAGGTCCTCAAAGAGGGCACAGTTTACAAATATGATATCCAGAGAGTGAAACAGGTTAAGATGAGATTCTGCATGTTCCACCACTCACTACTGTTTAGCTGGTCATGCATATTGGCACACTGGGAAGCAAAGCAGTTACCCAGGAGTCGCCACCCCATATTTCCCAGCTTCCCACGCTGAAGTTGCGAGGTCCACCTGATTTGCCTGGGAAAGAATTTGAGCGCTATGTAGCAAGCGAGAAGAAATAAATATTTAAGCAATTATTTTAAAGAACATCAATCTATAACACACATTAAATAGTTAAAAAAATCTTCATTCTATTGGTTGTCCTTAAAAGTGAACACTTTGCTGTTCATATTTAATAGATTAATGATACATTCATACATAATAACGGTATATTTCCATCCAACAATATGACTATCCATAGTGAAGAAAACGGAAAGAGAAAAGCTGGAATTTCCTTTAATTAGGAAGAGCACTGTAAATATAAACCAATTAAACATTTCCAGATTTTACTGAAGTCCTCATGAGATTAACACATTTGGATTATTTGTGATCTAGTACTATCTTATTTGATACTGAATACTGAAAATGTACAATGAAAAAAACCTACATATAAAATGTCTATAAAGCAAAAAACTCTACAGTACTGGTTTTCTACAGAGGAAATAAATTCTCAATAAATAGGGAGGCTCCATAGGTGATGAGTATCTCACTGACATCCAAATCTCAGAGACATGGGTGGGGGTGCAGTTAAAAGTAACAAGCCTTCTCCATTCCCAACACACATGCCTGTGCAAGCACAACTGATATGGGCAGAAATCAGCCACACTAAGTTTGGGCACACAAGGCCAGCAGCAGGAAATGGAGCTAAAATCCACCCATACTGCCCATCTCACAATCCACCATGCCCCTTAAGGAACAGATTACATGAGGGAAATAGTTCTATTACAGAAGGTGCCAGATTTCATTAAATTGTTTATGCAACAGGAAGAGCAAAAAGGAGCTCAATTCAAATTGTAAGTATAAAGCTCTGGGTTTTTTTATTGCTGTTATTATTTTAAGAAGATATATAAGGGGAGAAGAGTGCTTTTGTTGTTTAGCTTTACTAAAAACCAGCCAGAAAGCAAAAAATCAATCAGTAATTGGACAGTCTATGTTCAGGTTATTAACAACCCTAACTTCATAACAGAATCAAGGCAGGAAACTGGCTAGTGAATAATCCTGAAAGTTTGATCCTATGAATTTTAAATTCTTCTGAAGTAAAAATACAAGCTTGCATCCAAAAACCAGATTTATTTAAAAAGTTTTGGAAGAAGATAACAGTTCCACATATCCTTCTTTTTTTGATGAATAAGTATTATTTTTATAAAGGCAGAATATAGCTTGACAGATTCTTTTGGAGAGGGATTACAGAAAGTAGAATCCACAAACTAGTAGTGCTATTGTAATGGGTAGAATGGATTTAACTCTTTTAATAAATATACTCACAATTACAACTAATTTCAAAAGAATCACTACCAAATTTAAAAAATACCACACCAACTAAAACGCTATTAATTTTAGCTTTCTATAAACATTGTCAGACATCATCTCCTCATAGTTTCCCTTTCTACAATTCTTCTTTTAGCATTCCATTTTCATTTAACTTTCCTTAATCAGGTGTTTACTGCATTATTCTGAAGCAAAGTTTCTGATGAGCTAAAGATACAGCTATCAAACATTCTGCTAGCTTTCACTAGCTTTTACAAACACACATACATATACATAGAGAGAGTGCCTAACATAAAACCGCCAAAATAAGAATGGAGAGTAAAACAGTATGTAAAGGAAAAATCTGATGCATTTCATACCTTGCTAGTAGACGCCTTGTAAGTAGTCTTTAATTTCTGAGAGAGCTGACTGGTACTATGGCTGGCTGTTGAGACAAATAAATTTGAAAGGAAATTTGTTTGTTTTTTAGGAATGTTTTGTTATCTTACTTGAACACTGGTGTTAATACCCTTCCAACAGATAGTCAGCTTAAGCTATAAAAAGCCAATTAAGAGAGACATGTTTGTCATCATTCTTCTTACCTTTGGTTTTCAGTTGTCCCTTGCTCAGTTCAGCTCCATCAATCGTTTGGCCTTCAGCTGCTAAGCGCTCATTAAGTGTATCAATCTCTCTACGTACTAGCAGTAGCATAAAAATTCATGTTAATGCAAACAGTAAGCATTCTCTATCACAACTGTTAAAGTACTGCACATTCCCCATTTCCAATGCCTCAATTCTGTAGGCTGAATGTTTTCAGTGTTCAACTAAAAGGGACTTCTGAACACATTACTAGTATTAAGGTAAATAATCTCAAGAGAGAAGCCACCAAACTTGGAGCAGGTTCCATACTGAACCTCACCATATGGAATTTGCTTTAGGATCACACTTTCTAAGATAAAGCTGATGCAAAACAGCCATCAGTAAAAGTAAATGAAAATTCAGGAAGTAAAGATCACTATCTCTTTTCCACAATTAGCAAGTCATTGCTTGTCAATGAACTTGATTTTATATTTCCATTCAAAACTGGAAAACAATGAACACAACATTATAACAACATTAGATGCAAAGTTAAAAAGGAACATTCAGTCCAGATACTCAGAAACAGAAACCTGAATGAATCCACAGAAGGAATGAGAAGAACTTATGCCACTAAGAACTTATGCCACACTTTAAGGGGTTAATATACAGTAGATACCATAGTCCTATACAGATGCTTTTCTCCATACATTCCAGGAACTATGGGAGGAGCATGGACACATATACTCGTCTCTTTCCTGAGACCACTGTACATTGGCTGGAAAATTTGAAAGCCTGAATGCATACATTTTCCTCCATTTACACCAATGTCACACAGAACTCCTAAACTATCCGCAGAAGCCTATCCAAGTCTGTTTAGACCTTCTGGGAGACAATACTGGTTTAGAGACCTACCTTTTTGATCCTATTACATTTACAAGCTAAAGGAATTCTAGAAAGACATTGTACAAGAGGATTTCAAGCAGGCACATCATGTGCAGGAGTCACAGCAGATAACTTGGAAAATTTAACTGCCTTTTCTGAGTTCATACCAACTTGATAATTCAGTAGTTTATGGAGACAGAGGTCCAGATTAATTATCTGGAACATAATAACATTTTTCATGTATCTGGTGTATTTTATCAGCAATTTCTTTTAACTTCATAGTTTGTCAGTAACTTGTATAAGTACAAACTCACATTCAAGATTTTCAATGTAGAGGGTCTCAAACTCTCTTTCTATTTGACCAAAAAGTTCCAGAAGTGTATTCCTAACAGATGATGGCAGCTTTGAATCCTGAAGAGGATGAAAATATTCCAGTTACAGGTATAGTTGACAGGATTTTGTTATTCCTATCTGTATGACAGGCACAAGCTGCCATTTGACTTCAAAGCCTACACTGAAATCACGTACTCATTATTATAAACAGAGATTTAAAAATCATTCAAATTCAAATTTACTTTTATTTCATTATCTATAGGAATCTTTAATGAAATTACGGATCAACAGAGTTTTGTAATAGAGTTCTCTGTGGGCCACAGAGTCAAGTCTACCAGACCAGGAAGTCATATTTATCACCACACAAGCAGTATTCTGGATAGTATACTTAACATCTGTAAGTATATAGTGAAGAGAAGAATGAGAATAGTAAGGCTATCTGATAAACAAAAAAAATTCTACAAAGCCCATACAAGAACAATGTAAAACAATGTTTTGATATTCTCGGGGGATGGGGAGCTCAATGTTCTTTGAATATTTCAGTTGCCTTTCAGGTGCAGGAACGTGAAATGGATAAAGTGGACGAAGACTATGTTATGATGGTACAAAAAAGTGGGGGGTTAATTTAAAAAACCCTACATTCTTACATGAAACCGATTGCCATAAAAATACAACCCAGCAGCTATAGCACAGCCTTCAATTTTACTTCTAGGCTGGCTCAGTAATTACAGAAGAAACTGTGCATGGGGTTATTCTTCCCAAACTGTTCAAAGAAATCCTTTCTTAAAGGCTGGCAGACTGCTTGCTACATTCATTTACTCAAAGGTTAAGGAGGACAATTAATAGGATATTTTGCAAGTTAAATAAGCAAGCACCATCTTTAACTGGCCACAATTCTAGAGGCAGGCTTGGAGTTTATGAAGATCCAAATTTCAAATCAGAACAGCTAGGTTCAAAGAAACTGACACAATAGGTTAGACTATTACAGTAAAATCTGAGATTTTCTTATCTTCATAACAGCTAAACTGGATCAAACTTTTAATCCTACAGCATAGGGGGAAAGACCTGGTGCCAGAAGAAATCAAACCTAAAGCCCATTTAATTTTTTAATCAAGTTTCACTAGTTCTGTGAATATTCCTGGAAATTGGACTTGTTTAATTGTCTTTTAAACACGAGACAGCAAATATTACTTTCCAGTTAACTCAAAGAGCCTGTATTCATTTTGCCACACAGGACTCTTACCTTCACTGTGGCGCAGGGAGGTAAAGTTTTGGATTTAGACATGAGAAGCAACTGAACAATTTGGAGAGTCAAGTCTTCAAAAATCATGCCCCAAATCCTCTTGCCTAGTTAAATTGGCATAAAACAAATGGGCAAATACTCTTCCAAATAATCTTTGGAAGAGAAATGCCTTAAATTAAAAAATAACCATAGACATTATTTGTTCCATGCCAAGTGATGTGACTCAGCATGCAACTGATAATGTCTCTAAGTGATGTGACTCAGCATGCAATTGATAATGTCTATAGTAACTTGGGACATTTTGACTCCACACATTATGCCATTTGCTTAGCTGTGGAAAAAACTTGGAACATTTTGACTCCATACATTATGCCATTTGCTTAGCTGTGGAAAAGGATTTTGGCCCCGATTTACAAAACTAGGAATAAGTACAAAGCCAAGCACTCCTTGCTGCCCCACCAAGCCCCTTTTCTAACCAGGGAACTCTGTCTTTTTTACAAGTAACAGGCCAGGGAAATAAGCCAAGATACACTTTTTCTGGCTGCAACTATCAATTACTCAGATTTCATCAGTTCAGATGTAATTGAGAAATCTGGCTTAATAGATAAGATCTTCAAACCAAAGCTGGCATGCAAAAGAAGGAAAATATGGGCAAGGAAAGGACTGACTGGTATCAATTCTTGTTCCTGCCTTCATTGAGCATGGTCTGTGAAGCCTTAAACAGACATTTTGATCGCCAGTTCAGCCATAAGAGTGAGAAGAGTGGCCTTAACCACAAGCTTCATGAAAAGATTGTGGTGAGCATAAAAGAGGTAAAGGCCACAACCCTTAGGCATAACCAAAGATATTCTCACTGCCAGATACCTACTCACTACCTTTACAGTTAATCATATGCCTTAAGCACTATATCAATATCTGCTTTGCATGGGATTTCAGAGCCCTGATGGTGATAACGAGTTAGACTTGCTCCTGTATAGATTACTACCAAAGTCCTGCAATCTGCACTAACAGTGCAGTAGTGAAACCTGTAATTGTAGAAGACATACACATACCCTGCACCCATTCTAGTCCAGTTATGTTTACCTGGCCTTCCAGCATTTCCCTCTGCAATCCTGACCGTTCTTGCTCGGAACTGTTGGTTCGTCGTATAGAAAGACTGTGAGATTTGCGTTTCTGCTTTGCCTGGCGAGCCGTGGCACAACTTCCACTTTCTGTGGGCATTACTTCAAAGAAAACCTTTCCCGACACTCCTAAAATAAACTGAAGCCAAGCAGCCAGCATTACAATTTGCCTCATGGAACAAGCTACTGTATATGTTTAAGTAATAAACATAAAGGAAATATTTAGGCCTGCCAAATTCTTTAAACATTTTCAGGATAAGTCTTTGCTTTTGCTATTAACTCTTTCTAGAAAACACTTTTTAAAATTATGGTTACAGTTGTAATTCAGCCTACATTAAAAAAAAAACATTGTAGATCAGTTGTTCCCAAACTTGGCTAGCCCAGGTGTTCTTAGACTGCAGTTCCCAGAAGCTTTTACCACTAGCTGTGCTGCCCAGGGTTTCTGGGTGTTGCCCAGTAAAACACCTGGGTTACTGAAAATTGGGAACCCCTGTTGTAGATTATACAACTATTAAGAATATTAATATTCCAAAGAATTGTAATACCACACATTTCACTGTTGGTTGCAGTGTGGCTTTTAAAAAATCAATATTTTTTTAAAAATCAAACTGATTTAAATTAAAATTTGATGTTTAAATTTAAATCATGATTTAAATTGATATTTATGATTTAAATCAAATCCACTCTGATTGGTTCCAAACTACAAAGCCAACCAGAGAAAAATCTGATCCACTTAAGCTCTGCTAAGCATTTTCAAAATGAAAACCCACTGAAAATTCCAAAATGCTTCTAGTGAACAACTAAGCACTTTTTGTGGTTCAATTAAGACACATGCAAAGTCATAAACAGAGCTATAAATACAAGGAGATGATGTTTGAAGGGCAGTGTCAGGTAAATTATTCACAGTCAAATATTTTCAAAGAATATTTTCAAAGAACTACCCACTTTTCTTATTGGTTATAGCATTCATTCTTGCCAAGCCTCTACTCTGTCAAGCATAAATGCCAATATAGAAAAAATAAATAAATACATTCCTGGGAAGTTCCTAAATACATCCCTTGATAGTTAAGTGATACTATGACAGTTAGTTTATAGTGTGAAAATACTACAGTATTGTTTTTAAATGTAAACTGCCTTGATTACCTGACAGTACCTGACTTCAACCATACCCACACATGCAAGATCCAGTTTCCTCCCTTAAGAAAACAAAAGTTGTCTTTCATTTATTGCAGTGTACAAAAAACTGTACCACATCCAACGGTGGGCATGGCAATTCTTATTTCTTTCTTAGCCCAAGCCAATCAAGCAGAGCTCTAACAGTTGGTACATTTAAGATGTTTGATTAAGAAGATGACCACCATTCACAGAACACGAAATTTTAAAATCACATCTATTACTTTTAGTTCAAATAAATGCTTAGAAAAATCATGGGAGCCAGACACCATCTTAAGCACAGCATTCATCTTCCATGGGAAAGAATGCTACTTTTAACATTTAGTCTAGAACACATATGCATACTCTAAAAACAGAATACTTTGCTGTTGCTGCTGAGGATATTACCATATTTTTCCGCGTATAAGATGCTGCCATGTATAAGACGCCCCCACTTTTCTAATCCCAAATTAAGAAATCTAAGTGGGGTTTAGCAAGTGTAGGGAAGGGATCAAAGCCCTGCAGGATCACTCTGATACCTGCTTTCCCCTCCACTTGTGTTTGTTCTCTCCTCAGCTTACTTCCGTGTATAAGACGACCCTCAATTTTTAGTCTAAAGATTTTAGACAAAAGTATAGTCTTATACACAGAAAAATACAGTATTTCATTCATATGAAACTTTAATCAGTTATATTTCAATAAGATTTCTTCAATCTGCTGAAAGTCATAATTTTAATCTAGCAAGTAAATTTTTATTTTCAGTTAAAAAAAAGTTGAAATATTTCTTCAACACCAAGATTAAAAATGTATCATCCCATTCTTGCAAAAAGCAAAGTTCAGGCCCAGAACATTTACAAAACAATAATGACACTGCAAATTAGATCCAAAACCTTGCAGAACAAAGAAAAGAGAAATGTAGTCTTAGGCAATCTGAACAGATTTTATAACAACCATGTTTTGATATCTAATCTAAGATCTACAGCATACTAACTCTTTAGAGAACTAAGCAAGAACAATGTCACCTCTCTAAACTTTAGGGAACTGCCAAGTTCTTGGGGGGGGCATAGACTATGAAATCTAAGGCTAAAGAAAAATGAAGATTCCCAAGTGTCTAGGGAACTGCCAAGTTCTTGGGGGGGGGCACATAGACTATGAAATCCAAGGCTAAAGAAAAATGAAGATTCCCAAGTCAAGGCAGTATACATAAATTACATGAAATCGACACAGAAGAGTAATATTGGGCTTGCTTCAATCAAGTACAATTAATGATATGGTTGCCTCTGGAGCATGGGCTCTTCACTTCCATGAAACTTCTCTTACATGCCTACCGGCTAATCACTATTTTCATATGCAAGCAACACAAATTATATCAGCAGTTTGGAAGATGTCTCCACATAAAATATGGTAGTATATAAAGGTAACCTCTAAATAATGGATCTATTGAGTCCTAATTCACATTACAGATAGTGTTTCTTCTTCCAGCATCCATTACACAATATTATGCTTCTTTTTGCAAATGTCCTTGTATTGCTTCTGAGCATCAGCAAATTTCATCCTCTTCATGCCATGTCAGCTTTAATCATATATACATTTAATCCTACGTAGTTTGGTTAGTTCCTATATAATATCAAGGAAGTAACTTGGTTATTAACAGGCCCCTTTAAAGTGCTTCCAACTACAAAAGAGAGAAAACAAAAACCACAATTACAGGGATATGGCCAAATTTCAGAGGGTGTTAAGAAATGACATTAGTATTGAATAACATTTAATATTCGTGAAGCACCTAAAATGAATTGGTATACAAAACAAATCAAGAGAAGTCTTGACCAATGGGCTTACACAGCTTAATTTAGGCAAAAACTAAAAACAACAAAAATTGAAGGAAGCAAATACTAAACATAGCCTTAGAAGATAATATAATTTGAGAATCAGCAAAAAGTCACTTACTCATAAAATACTAACAAATTAGTCTGTTCAACATCACCATTCTGTGTTCCATTGTACAAACATTTCATTGCACATCTTCATGCGCCAGTGTGACTGCAAAATTCATGCACGACTTAGGAGAAACATGTCACATGCATGCAAGCCCTTCACCAATATTGCAAGCTCTTAATTCTTATGTTTCAGAGGAAGCAAGCAAGCACACATATAGGAGAAAGGAAGAACTATAACAGGCAGGATCAGTTTCCAAGGGTCAGCAGGCTTGTCATGTTTAACCCACACTGAGATCTTGTGTACATATGTTCTTATGTGACAACAGGAGTGGATATATCCTTCGTCACAAGCAGACATACTGGACACACGCTGAAGCCAGTGTAGGGCAAACATAACACATGAAGTAGCCCTCATCTACATATATTTCATGTTAATATCAGGCCATAATCTTATATCCCATAAATGTGGAAATAAGGCACACTGAGCCTAGCTGAGACTTAGTTCTGAGAAAATATGTACAGAATTGCATTGCAGATCTACCCATAACCCACCTCACTGAAAATACAGAACAACTTCTGTATTTTAAACAGGCAATATAAATGCTAGAAGAAATACCACCCTTTAAAGTTTTTGTATTAAATCACTTCCCCAAGTTGAAAAAGTGATTTGAGTCAGAATCAAATTCTACATCTCATCATAAACATATTACAAATTTGAAGATTCAAAATTAAGAGAACAAATATTTGATTAGAATATTGCTACAAGAGCATAACAATCAGTTTCTGGCAGTCACCTAGATTCACCTTATTAAATTAGGTTTTCAAAACAATGGAAATTACCTGTCCAGTATATCAGTGTCATGTTAAATATCCTATGAAAACCACATTAAATATTGATTAGTGAAGAAAATGCAAACAATGGTCAAAAAGACAATGGTCAAATGTGAACATTTATTGTATCTAAAAAGCATGCACAACTGTGTTTACATTTAATACTTGCAATGAAAAAATGCAAAGGCTACTATAAGAAACCAACTATAAGTTTGAAGAAACTACAGTTCAAATTTAAGATAATTAGAGATGGGGGTATTCGTATACAAATACGAATATCCCCGCACAGGTGGTGTTAACAAAGGTCCAACCCCATAGGGCCAGACAGTCCGCTCACCAATCCACTGCAGATGTGGGCAGTGCGATTCTACCAATGGCTCTGCAGCACGCAATCCACTCGCCACTCCTGGCAGGAGGTGGGAGTACAAGCCTTGCTGTAAGGTCAAAGAGTGGCAAGTGGATTGCGTGTTGCGGACCCATTTTAGAATCGAATTGCGCCATCTGCGTCGGATCGGTGAGTGGACCCGCGCCATCTGCGTCGGATCGGTGAATGGACCATCCAGCCCCATGAGGCTGCACCCTCGTTAACGCCACCTGTGCGGGGACAGTCATATACAAATACAAATAACCCCATCTCTAAAGATAATTTAAACTTCAGCATGGTCAGACTCTTGTAAATTCATGACCTTGGGTCTGTACAGAAGAAGTAGACATGTATCTTTACAGACCCATCATATGCTTACTTGCTTAAAAGCATATCCCATTTATTTCAGCTGGATTCACACTGAAACTATGCCATAAATGTCAAAAGCAGTATTCTAGAAAAAGCTTTATACAAGAGTACGTTCTGAGTAAAAGCAGTGTGGATGTAATCTGTTTTTCAATACACCACCATTCAGGTGAGCAAGCTGCCAAATGCAGTCCCATGAAACAGATGGTCCAAAGCAATAAGGAAACATAACATATAGTTAAGATTTGCTAGAAACTACACCCAGAATTTCCCATTCTGCCAGGCACCATACAGAATTTCTGGTAGCCACAGCATGAAAGCCACAGCCTGCAAACAGCAACATCTCACAAAGGGTACCTGACACAGCATAAATTTATGAAACCTCCACGCGTTCCACATGGCACCCTGTTGTGGGTGTAGCCTACCTCAATGACTTTTAATTTTTCAATTTGTGTGAATGTTTAGCCTGAGGAAACTGGGCTTCCAGCA